AGTGTTTTTACGTCTCTGCAGTGGCAGTTTAATATTTTTATTTGATGGGCATTTTATGACATTCTTTTCATTCCGATATTTTTAAAGGTAAAAAGTATGTTCAAATTTTCGTTGAAGACTGTGTGGCACCAAGTTAAAGTTAGTCTCCTCCGCAGCCGTTTTTTGGGATGTCACGCAACGCTCCCCCCAAAGAAACGGCTGCTCATATCCGAACAACATTCCTTTCACGAAATTAGCCAATCACCGTTTCTGTTCCATTTTCAAGAACGTTTTCGCGCCAAATTCGCCCTTTGAAACTTGTCCAATCAGGGAATGTTTTTTATCTTTGTATCCCGTCGTGGGAGATGTTACAAATAAACATACAGACTTCCGGCTTTTGTTTAGGGACGCCGAAAAATACCGGCGACGCTTGCACGAGCTTTCTTTGTAGCTGAAGACTCTTCAAAGTTCAAGTTAATTATTAGAAGCTTTCAACTCAAAAAATTACTGTCGAGAAGGATTATATCTATTTTAACTTAATAAAGGAACCAGGAAATCAAGTAGCTTCGCTCGATTTGTTGACATCGAGTTCTGAATGCCGGTCTTTCCGGCCTGATTACAATCTGTAGGAAACGTTTGGCCCTTGATTGACGCTTACAATTTGACATTTCGAGAAAATATACATTGTCTCATTTATAGCTGAACATAGCGATGAGCACATGAAGCACTTGTAATAAGGACTTTCATTTACAATTTTTTTCGTCCGTCATGATCGCAACCTGCGAACACCGCCTATTTTTGGCGACGTGCGGCGTGAAACAAAAGCCAGAAATCCCTCGCGTGTTCGCACCGCAGACTTTTTCGCGCGAAAGCTTACGTCATTCACACTTTGCTATTATGTGATTGGTCTGTTCAACAGAGCGCAAATAAACCACAAACACAAAAGGAAAAGAATGTGGTTCGGATGTGAGCAGCCGTTTCTTTAGGGGGAGCGTTGCGTGACATCCCAAAAAACGGCTGCGGAGGAGACTAACTGTTAAGCTACGTGTCGAATAAACTAGGACCCCTGCCGATGTTCTACGGTTCAACCGTAGAACATCGGCAGGGGTCCATGATTTCAGATCCTCATGAATCTCGTAGTGATGTAGAGACATGAATGTCATGAATGATCTTCGCAGTTATACAAGTATACGGTCACGAGCATATCACAGTTCAAATATATGATCTTTCATATATTCACGCGCATTTTCTACCATCTACGGATATATTAAGAACTCACACCGTGACCAGCTCCCAGTGACTTCGTGATCACCCAAAGAGAATAATATATTTAAAATTCAACCCTTGACGCAAATATAGGTCCGCATGGCGTACTTGAAGCTACGTCACTTTAATAGTGAAACTTTCTTATGGCTTTCTTGGAAGTTAAGTTTTATTACATAGTCTTTGTAAATTCCATTATCCGGCTTAACATTCGCCATACTTAAAATTTTTCCTCGAAGGTCAGTTAGTTTCATTTAACTCCTTTGCTAACCGAAAGTGAAAAATTTGCCATTTTATTCAACTTTCCGGTTAAGAAAATTTTCGAAAAATGGAAAAGTTAGCAGCATGCCGTTCATTTTGTTTAGTGTCCTCAAAAAAACTTAAATTATTACATCACAAAAATGGCAAGAAAACCAAGCGCGAAACTAATGGCTTTCACACAGAAAAGTTAAACGGGAGTGCAGGATTTTCTGTCTTTTGAACAGCAAGCGTGAATATTAAGCCTCTACTTACAGACCCTGGCCAGAGCTCTTCGAGTTTTTAAAATAGTGCTACTGAACTCGCCAAAACGTTTTGGCGTGTCGGTAGAGTGCACTTTTATTTCAGCCTCGTGAAGTTAAAAGAGGAAAAGCCTATACAACTGGTATTTCAATGGGGCCTTTACAATAGCTGGCGGGAAACGCAAAGGGGTCATTCATTCGTATTCAGCGAGATAAAGCCCTTTTTTCGTCAGTTGCCCAGCAACGCCCGATTAATGCGCGGAGAACAGGAAATTAAACTCTCCCAGTGTCCAACATTTCACCGTTAAAAGCAAATTAAGCATTTTAGTCAAAGAACCGGCAACAAAAGCGAAATAAGAGACGCTGCTAAGACTGCCGTTTTTGCGTTCGCTGTGTCCCACTTATTATGGTTTTAAAATAGTTTCCCGACGCCTAGTGGAAACAAGTTTTTACCGTTTAAGAGGAAGGACAATTATGATGCAGTTTAAAAGATCTCTTTATTTATCTTTTAGTGAACAAAATGAGAAATATTTTTGACCTAAAATTATTCCTCTGGAGTTACCTTGGTAAATTCTTCATGTAAAATCTTTTACACGAACTTGTTTTTAAAAAGAAAGTCAAAAAACTGTCCCATAAAGATAAAATTTGATAATTTTTTCCATTTTTTTGGTTTTAAAAATGAGAAGTTCGTGTAAAGCCAGTAAGAACTAACTATGCTTTTGGTCCAGAGCAGCATGGAATCACAGTACCAGGCCTCCCCATTTTACGCCTACTACCAGTTTGACTGGCGAGTTTAAGCATGACGTTCACGGCAGACGGCAAACGGGAAAGATTACCTCTGATTTTTTATTCTTTTCTTGTAATCCTTAAATGAATCACACAAAAAATGAAAAATGTCTCCTTCTATTCACCGCAAATACAAATATTTTCACTCTACTGTACAGTTATCTGAGGACAGACGGCGAAAGTTTTATTTTTGCCATCTGCCGTTTGACGTAACGCCACGCTAAATCTCTCAGAGCCATTTACACACAACAATATGACTTCAAAAAGGAAAAGAGTAAGACCTAACCTGCATACATGGAAATGTAAAACAAAAGAAATTGTAAACGTTTACAACCGGCAAGCTAGGAACATTTTAAGAACGTATTAGACTCAAAAAATCAGGATCTAAAAGTTATAATGGTTCCCGTGTCCAAGGTAACGCAACGCACCAAGGGAATCGTTAAGATGAGCTCCCGCCTATAACAGATAAATTGGATATACCAAATAACCATGTTTTTCAGGCAATGGATTTGCATTTTAACCATTCTGCCACGTTTCGTTACATGATATAACCATTTGAGACTAAACTTTACCCTTAATTCTTGTGCTGTTAAGAAGTCGATTTTCGGCAGTTTCATGGCTCGGCGTAAGAGCAAGCTATAGCGTGATTATAAAACACGTTTCATTCTTTTTTTAACCACATGTAGTTCAGCACAGACTATGATCTGTGCAAGCAGAATGACTGATGCCCAAATTTTACGAAAGATACTGACGGATAAACAACGCAGATGTCGAATTCATCACTCAGCCTGAAGAATATAATCCGAACATACGCCCTCGCATTCGATTATTTCATAAACAATGGAATTGAGTGGTGAATGGGAGTTGGGAAATACAAATGGGATTTCGATGACAAATATCACCTTTGTCGTTGCGTTTTCGCGACCGACAGAAATTTTCAAAAGAACATTTCATGCAACATTCAGACAGCTCCATCCTGTTTCGTTGGAAAGGTCGAGGGACGGGCTTATGTTAAAACTTGCGCATGCCCCGGGGCTTTGAAATCATCCTAGTTTAATCGAATATTTCTGTGTAGATAACCATTAAATACGGACAATTGTCTTCACAAAAGTTCGCTCAGCAGTCCATTAAGATAAGATTAGATATGTTAAGATAAGAATCTTTTGCGTCGTTTATTTTTGTTCAATATTGTCAGGCAATGCATGAAGCGTGCCCGAGTAGTCAGCGCGTCGGACGCGCAATCCAGAGGTCCCGGGTTCGAGTTCCGCTCTGACCACCACCTGGATTTGTTTTACGGTAGCCCCGAGTTCAAATCCACAGCCACGCTTGTAAATAGCTAACTGGTTTGCCTCCGGCCAGTTGGGATTCTTAACAATGTTGAGCCCTATTTGTTCAGTTGTTTGCTTGGTCCCTCAAGCCTTTGTGCTTTAAACATTGCCGAGGGTAAATAAAGGTATTTAAATAATTTTAATTATTTATTTTATTTATGGACAAACGTAATTTAAATAACAATTTCGCCACGTCTGGTTATATGATATAACTGCTAAATGGAACTTAGTAAAAGGGAAAAGACAAAAGCCAAAGTTATTTTGAATAAACGTCTGTACTAGCAAGACTGTTTAACGGACAGCCGTCAGAAGCGAGTTAAAATGATGATTTTAAAATCGGCCTTTCTCTTGTTGGCATTCCTCTTTTCTCTAAGCTTGCCTAGCTTAAAAGTTCAAAGTCGCAGTCTTCCTTTAGGTAAGTTAATGATCAGTCTTCAATTTTATTAAGAGTGACTGTTTTATTCTTTTATATAGTGAATTTATCAAGTTTTTCTGCCTAGGCTGAATATTCTTATTTTTCTACCAACTTCAGGCTGAAGATATTCTTGTGAATATTCTTAGATTATGACGTATGACATTTGTGTTTTCGAATGTATTTGTATTTGTTGTCTGGATGGTGCCAAAGTAATTTTGAAGCCAGCCTGCATGCGTTAAAGCCTGATGATGCACATAGCTTCTTGCAAAAATGTTATTAGAGAGGTTAAGCATGACGTTTACGGCAAACGGCAAACGGCAAAAATGAAACTTTGGCGTCTCCCTTCAGTTGTGTGTACAGTAGAGTGAAATTATTTGTATTTGCAATGAATAGTAGGAGACGTTATTCCATTTTTGTGTGCTTTATTTACGGATTAGAAGAAAAGAACTCAAAATTAGAAGTTATCGTTGCCGTTTGCCGTCTGTCGTTAACGTCATGCTTAACCTCTCTATTACAGTAACATCGAAAATACGGTTACCACTGTTCTTGGTTGCTTTTTGGCTAGCTTTGCCGTTTAGAGAAAGGAGGAATTTTGTACAGTTTAGTTAAAAACATAGAATTGTATTGTATTTACATATTTTCAACACACAAAATAATTTTCTTTTCATAATCTCAGTCTCGGTTTTATTCCTAAAATATTCTTAAAATTTCGCAAATTTCAGCCTCAGTATTCTTATAAAATATATTCTTATAAAAATGAGTGTAAGTTAAGAAGTCTGAAAATTTGCGCGTAACCATGGGTTAATTAACAACTAATGCCGCTGGATTTTTTTGTTGTTGTTGTCCCCGGCATAAGTTACCGCGATTAATGATTCGATTTTGCACCCAGTCGCTTAATTTCCTTTTTAGAAGCTCAAGGGATGACGTTTATTGGAGAGGACGAGCTTATTTATAGGGACGGAGCACTTATTTTTATGGGTTCTCTCTGTAGTTCTCCCTACAGACCACATAAACATCAATACGAAAGCACAGAGTTTCGTTTGAAACAATTGTACCCTCAATATAATAGTACAGAAGGTGATCTCAATGTACTCTGACGGAACAGTATATATCATTCAGATATAACTGTGTAGGGGTGCTTGAAAAATCTCATTCAAAGTGGGGCGGTGCTTATTGGAAAAGTTGTTCATAATCACATAATGGGACGAGGACAGCGAATCGACAAAACTTTACCGTAATTTTTCTTTCCAGCAAAACATTTGTCAATGTAACCCCGCCTGGACGCCTCTCACTCAGAACTTCAATTGAGTGGTGATGTGCAACAACCAAAAGAAAGTGAGAGCGCACGCGCAAAGGCATATCCATTGAGTAAGGTGGCACGAGGGCAAACAAAACTTTTTGGGGCCTTCCCGACTAAATTACTTTCTCTCTGGGGTTCGGATAGCTCATTAAGACAAAAGCGTTATTCGCGCTCGTTTTAAAACGAAACTAAATCGTGGGAGTCTCCCCACCTTCCTCCGTATTCCCTCCCCAATTATGTCTGTTTCCGATACGCTGCTAAGAATAGTCATGGTCAATCGTTTTCAAGAACCCGCGCTATGTAAATTATGAATCGGTTCAATCCAGTAAGAGCAGAAATTTGAAAACGAATCGAAATCGTTATTTTTCCGTGACAACCACTACGTGGCATATCCAGCACGTGTTTGCTTTGTCATGTAAACAATATAATTAATTAGACCCGGTGAGACATACTAAAATAGCACAGCATCAATATTATGGAATACCGACCGTATTAAATTGACGTCTAAAAGTAATTATGAATTTTTTAAGCGAAATTAAATTATATAAAGGACAATTTTATCACTAGCCTTGACAAGCCAATTTTGTGTCTTCAGTCGCCCAGTTTTTGCGCTCTTTTATAAACTTCTTTGCGTCAAGAGCTGTCAATTCTCCGGATAGACAAACACACCCGCTAGGCAAGATGACAATTAACCAGTCATCCGTTTAATTCAAAGACAAACTCAACTGGAGGTAAATTTGAATGTTCAAATTGAGCAGACAAGTTCATTTCCGTCAGTGTAACGAAGCTTGTGGCTGGAGCGTCAGTGTTGTTTGCTTAGGAAAAGTAACAAATATGATTTTAAGAACGGTCTTTTACTTGTGCTGTGGTTTTTGCTTGGTGCAGAGTCGCCCATTTGGTGAGTAACCAGTTTATAAACTGACTTTCTGGAAAATATGACAACGTTACATTTGAAATATTGCATACATGTGTTTTATACCGTTGTGACTCATGGAGGCCTTTCAATTGAAATGTTGAAGTACGTAGACTAACAAAAAAATTATTGCAACATTATTGTTCCATCACCTCCTTCACATTCGAATTCAAATTTCTTCATCGCTATTCCAGAAGAGACACGGGAGAGGTTCCAAAGAAATCGATTAATTCAAATACCATCAGGCCCTTGTGTCAGCAGCTGATATTTATAATCCACATCACAAATTTCCATCATCTTTCACTCACTGTTCTTCATGAAATTTTTATAACTGAGGACTATCAGAAATTATCGATGTATTCCTGTACGTAGGCTTAACAAGACGTCGAGTACATTGAATGTACCCTGTAATAAAAAAGGTGAGACGCAGACGGAATCGTATTAAGATATAAAAAAGAATAAAAGGTTTTAAGACTTAATTAACATACACATGGTCACTGAGGTTAATTAACGGTTTAGAGGTCAATAATTTATCCTAGTCGTATGTACTGGCATGTGATGATAAGTTCAGTATTGACTTCAATATTTGACCTTTGATAATTTATGTTTTATAGCAGACGATGCTTGGAAGAATGAAAGAGACAATGTTATTGACTGGTTGCTTCAAGAGAAAATAAGAGGTAATGATTTTTAAAATATTTTTAATACTGGACTAATAATTTAAGGCCAAGAAAATTTATAAACTTAACGCGCCCTTGTCAACAACAAGTCAGGTAACAAAGCCGTTATATCTACTTCACGCAACCAACCGTGCATCTCGTCCAGGTGTTTTTCCCTATTTCTACCCCATTTTTTTTTCTTGTTTTAGTTTTTTTCCGCATGGCGCAGCCACTTCGCACGACTAGTATTTGCTATTTCTAAGTGGCTGTGCTCTCTCTGTCTACAGGTATTCAACCTGGAATCAATTTTTATTTTTCTTTATGGAAATCTAAAGAGGCACAAATAAAGATTGCTGC